CATGCTTAATGAAGATGGTTTATAAAATCTTTTATAAAGGATAAAGGTAATATAATATTTATATATTAAAAACCGTCTTCCTTCACCGACACAATAAATAAAGGCACAAGTACGTCTTTTCAAATCATATCGAACGCCGAACGAATGGATCGTACAAGATAGTGCAATGACTATGCTTACTCACATTCCCCTTACAGAGAAAAAGAAGAAAGGAAATGAAAACAAAGAAGAACGAACGTGTTTTTGAATCCAGAAGTAGAAAAGTTGTTCATTTCACGGACATAACAAAAAAAGACATAAGAGCACTTGCCTTCTGCTGTGAACACAAAACCACAGAAAAGATAATAGCTCGCTGAAGAATAAAGTTAGAACAAAAAAATGATAGCACTAACAGCTAAACTCACAGGAAAAAATCATAGATGAACTTTCAACAAATAAACAAAAGAAAAAAATCTGAGAAATGAAGTAATGAAGAACAAGAAAGCTCTGAGTGAAAAAAGTATTTGTTCACAGGGTCTAATAAGCTGTATGTACGGCATTTGACTATTCAATTCTATCTCATTGGTTGTTTGGACTAAAACGAGAAGAAAAAAGGCAAAAAGAATATATTTGAAGCGGTTTGAAGGTACTGGTGCATCTATATTCTGTCGTTTGTCGAAACAACGTTTGTCGAAAACAATCTATAAGATGATGAAGATCATTAAATTGATTATTTTGTCTATAATCTGCAGTAAATTGATGAAAGACGAGAGAGTCTGTCATTAAAGAAAACAAAAATATTAATGTTTTGCACTGTGCACATTGCATAAAAAAATAATAAATAATAATAAAAAACCTACTATCCATTTCAAAATAGATTGGGGTATCGTCCACACTCAATCTACGGGCAATGTTTCTTCAAAATCTTTTTAAAACCAAAGTACTTTCCGTTGGTTTTTTTTTGAAACTATTATTGAAGTTCATGATGTAGCACAGATGAAATGGAGTATATGTTGATATTTTGAAGCAGTTTGGAACAAATTTTGACTGGATTATAAATTTTTTAGTTTTCGATGAAAATATTGAAAAATAGATTATTTTGTCTAGTAAAAGTTTTCACTAGGTTCTTTTAAGCTTTTTCGAAAAACAAACATTGCCAGAAGATTCAGCGTGGTCGACACCCAATGTTTCATGTGTTTTGAAAATTCCTAAACATGAGATTTAGCCGATAGGTAGGTTCTCGTACAATGCCTATAGCTCTCGAACCATAGAAGGTAAAAATCCGGGACTTGTATAGTTTAAAAGAGGACAGCTTAGAGGTTCGAATCAACCTATCCGAAGTCAAAATATATATTTTTTCTTGTAATACGAAGCTTTCAGATTTTGTTCGATGAGGTACACTATGAGAGACCTGATTGAAAGACCTAATTTCTCCATAGATTTCTTTCTCAGTAGCTCCCGTATCAAATACTGAATACCCCATGGTTCTAGCTCTTTCCCTTGAAATGTTAATCAAAAATACTTTTTTTCATTTTATTTTGAAATGGATCTTTTTTATTATTATTTTTTATGCAATGTGCACAGTGCAAAGCATTAATGTTTTTGTTTTCTTTAATGACAGACGCTCTCATCTTTCATCAATTTACTGCAGATTATAGACAAAAGAATCAATTTAACGATCTTCATCATCTTATAGATTGTTTTCGATAAACCTGATCGAAAGATGTAATTTCTTCATAAATTTCTTTCTCAGTAGCTCCCCTATCAAATACTGGAAACAGCATTGTTCTAGCTCTTTCCCTTAAAATGTTATTCAAAATTACTTTTTTTCCATTCTATTTTGAAATAGATAGTAGTTAAAGAGAACTGAATTTTCTACAAAAAATATGAGACGCTCAACCTGGTTTTACATAGCATCAGTTTTCACTTGTTATCTTACCAATATTTTCTAGGATAGTTCTCAGTACGCTATAAAAAAAGTCGTAGATTAATAAACTACAATAAAAGAGTTTTTTGGACTAAAAAAACTGATCAAAAAACTCAAAAGAGCTTTTTAACGAGTTTTTTATGGCAAAAAACTAAAAAGCGTCTTCGTGGTCGTTTCAAAATGGAAAACTCACGGTTTTTGGGTTTATCAAAAAAATCTGCTGGTTTTTTGGTCATTTTGAAAAACTGAGGAAAAAACTATTAGGGTTTTCTAAAGAAAAACCGAAAATCCCAAAACCGTGAGTTTTTCATTTTGAAACGAATACGAACGCTTTTTAGTTTTTGGGCCTAAAAAACTCGTTAAAAAGCTCTTTTGGGTTTTTTTGATCAGTTTTTTAGTCCAAAAAACTCTTTTATTGTAGTTTTTTAATCTACGACTTTTTTTTAGAGTATATAGCAATTGAGTTAACATAAGTTATTTTAGTTTTGTCCGGAGAGAAAGTTTTAAACTAAGCACCGTGACTGAATTATTCATATAAATTGTTCATGTTTAAAACTGCTCTTTTTTATGTTACAAAACAGAAAATCCTGTATTAAACTCACTTTTTTAATATTAAATCGAACTATAGTGTCACAACGATAATCATGCGCCGAAAAATCTTCATCATCTGTAATTGTAACATTTCGTTCAAGCCAAAACGGTGTTATTTTACATTTTTGTTCAAAATCATCTGATGCTTGATCAAAATTATTATTATAAATGGGACCAGTACATATTAATTCAAGTTTTATCAATTTCGGACATTGCACTGATAATAACAATTCCCATTTGTTTGCATCAAGTAAATGATACCAACCCCACAAAAATAAATCCTTTAAGTTCGGTGTATGCTTTAATAAATATTCAACATGTTCAAATGTTATATCCTGTGATAACTTTAGATGTAGTCGAATACATTTAGGCATCAAAGGCATTATAATTGTCATTTTCTGTTGCCGTTCTTTAGGTTCATTATCAGTACATAAGTGATAATCTATATGAAATGATTTAACATTTTGTATAGCAGGGAGTAATCTAATCAAATCATTAACAGTCAACGAGTCAATCCACAGATATTTAATATTTGTTGTTTTAGTTGTTGTAATTAGCGAAGGAATTGTGGGCATCCCTCTTTGCAAACCACAAGTATCGATTTTGAAATATTTTAGTAAGGGACAATAATCTTTATTAAATATCAAACGAATAATATGTTCCTTTTCGTCAAGACAATTATTTGGCCCGGAACAACTGCCCCAGAACATAATTTTCAATAATCGTAGATGTCTCAAAGATGAAAGTTGATTCCAGAATCTAAACAAATTATCATTAAAAGAATACATAAAATCTAATGATAGTAAACGAAGTTGAATCAATGAATTAAGAGAATAGATAGAGAAAAAATGTTGTATTTCATTAGCATTTTTTAATTTTAATGATCGAACATTACCAACATTCATTGATGGTAAAATCTTTTTCATAAAGTAACCATAATTGCCTTGTTTTTTAAAATTTAAATGTAACATTGTTTGATCAAGAATTGCATCAATTTTTCTATTTAAACCACGAAATGAATACCATAATTCAATTGAATTGAAATATTCAAAGAGTTCTCGCCATAATTCTACGGAAAACAGCTCAATTACACTGTGGAGTGTGTTTGACATTTTCAATCTAAAACACAGACAAAAGAGAGAAACTACTAAAAAATAACATATATTATGCATTCATTACGCATTTTCTTGAGAATAATTCAAGATAAATAGTTCCTATGAAAATCACTTGAAATTTCAAAATTCTCCGACCAATACAGATGTGATGATATTTTTTTCTGACAATTGACCTTGGTGAGCAAAAAATACAGCGCTTTTCGGATGATTTATCCATCAATTTTTACTCAGAAATTGTCTAAATTCGTGCGGGACGATGATCGTCGCTAAATATGAACTAGACATGCAATGGTAAGGGTAATTTAACGATTTACCGTTACCATTCTACCAGTCCTTACCGATCAGCCTTATATAGAAGTAGCAATTTTTAAAAAACACAGATTCTCTGACATATTGTTCATAAAAGAAGAATTTTTGAAACTTGAATCTGAAACGAATGAAGATCAAGTTAGGGAGCATTTCAAAATTCTTGCCGTTCTCTCTGCCGTTCTGCCGCTCTGCCGCTCTGCCGCAGCATAACGGATTATTTTTAATGACATTTCGATATATTATCGGTTTCTTTTGATATATGTATACGTATACATGCAATTTATTTTGGTAGATAAATT